AGAAAAAGTACTTATCGGAATAACTTCATTTTATTGTGGAGTGATTTTATTGTTATTAACTCCATTAAATGGAATGGTACAAAACTAGCAGCCACGAAAAGCCACTCGCACCTGACATCCCAGCTGACATCTCTAAGAGGAACGCAGTCCCATGCCAGCGGTACACACAGCGGTAGATGCGGGTGTATGTCCCCAAGGAAGCACCTCCCACGGTCCACCAGAATGGTCCCGCACGGTCCCCATGGTGGGGACAGTAGTCTGAGCTCTCTCTCAGAAACTAAGGGAACGATTTTGTTCTACTGAAAGCAACACACACTAGAGAAAACAGTCAGAACAAAAGAAAATGCCTGACATCTCAAGAGGAGGACCGTTACGTATCTTCCCCACGGATGCCTTAAAATGAAGATTATATGAGCAGTAAGCTACTCCCTCGTAACAACTCACTTGGATCGCTTCAATTACTGCAGCTGACTATAGTGACTGATTGCTCCCATCGCTTAATATACCTTGTACTCGGTACATGTATCCATGTGTAAGGGTTATAGCTACTCTGTTCTTTTTTAATTAAAAAAATTAAATTGATATGGACCACAACAACTGCTTTATTTTTAATAACATTTTCTGTGATGGTGACGTGGAAAGAAGGGGGCAGACAGAATAATTAACCAGCCTACTTTTAAACCAGAATTATTCTATTATTATTCTAAGGTCATATTTAAGTATCAAGAAGTGCTTTACCAAGCAGCAAATTACAGGAAACAGGGCTTGACAAAATTGAAATAACTTCCTACAATAGAAGTTTAAGAGTATGCACAATTTTTTTCCCCAAATAAAATAAAAAGAACAATGCCCCAAATGGCAAAAACATATTACTGCTCAAACCATAACCAGGTATTAAAAAGACAATAAGGTTACATTATTTCAATATTCTGCTTCTTTCTTTGACTAGCAAAATACTGTAACAGGAAAATAAGTATGTAACAAATAGTAGATATTGCCGTTGAAAGACTTGCTAGTTTGGGTCCCTGGAGCCACTTGGGACTGTTGGGAGTTCCCATGGCAACCTCAGCACCGACAATTACGGAGCAGCTACAATTATTCTGAATATGCCTGTTGAGAACGGAGTTTCTTTTTGAGACGGCCACAAATAATGCCATTCCGGAGAGAAAATTCACAACCAAAGGTTAAAACCAAATGAAAAACAGTGACAGATTTTATCCTGCCTCCACTTCCTACAGGAGTGTATTTTTATCTCTAAATATTAATAATGATGTATCATCTGTAAATCACTGAAGACAGATTTGTTCATACTGCTAAATGAGCAGATAATCGATTCGTAAGTTTTAGTGACAGGTGAGATCCAGAAAATATGTAGCTTGATTAAAATTTCTTCTATAGAAAATACTGCCCTGCACCTATGCATAATTTCTATATGCTGTACAACTTCATATAGATAATACATAGAGAGTATATAAAAAGAAAACTCCTTGTAGTAAAGTCTATAAATACTCAGCCAGGTCACTGCATGATTCCATTAATGAAACCAGTGTCCTTCTCAACTCTTCTCCTCCTTCTCCAGTTTGGTCCAGTGGTTGGATAGGCACTGAAACCACTGGGCACAAGGCAGGTGTTGATTTTTCAACTGCTTTAGATCCAGCAGAATGGGCCACGAGGAAACTTTCTCGTGACAAATAGTTTTTACTCTTCAATTACAATTGTAAGTGACGAGAATGTTTGAATCTATTATTTTTTTTACTTATTTATAATCTCGTATAGCTATTTTATGGTAGATTTACACTGAAAAAATGACTTAAAGAATCTGCGCCAGAAGGTCCAGTAAGTAAAGCACCATACCAACGAGACTGGTGTGACTAATAACCACATTTAAATAAAAGTCTGGGTTGTTAAAGTGGAGCTAGAAGGATGTGATAGGATTGTGTAAACAGTTGGAAATCAATGAGAGCCTGAGGCCAAATCTTAAAAGATGTCTGCTGAGCTACAGACGCAGGCAGGTATTTTAAAAATTCTCACTGATTTAATAGGGAGGTAGCTCCTAAGTGCTCTTGAAGATTCTGCTAAGCATATTTCTAAACTTCAGTCAAAAGGTCAAAGTCAGTTTGAAGAATGTCTTAGAGTTTTGGTTTTTTTTAAGACGAGAAATTGGTTTTGGAAATTTCACATCTGCTGGTTCTCTGTTCTTCTATAACCTGAAAATACCCTTATTCTTTCTTAATACAAAGCAACGAAATTCTCATCCTAAAGTTTCCCTATTCTTGCATAGCTTAGGTTTGTATATAGCTCCTTACCCTGAAGACCACCATTATTCATTCGAAGTAGTTGACATTCGTAACGCAGTACTTTTGTAGAAACTGTTGTAATTTTGTACTCAAAATGAAATCAGCGCAGCTTGGCTATCAATCACACTGCCACATATCGAAAAGCAGACCGAGCACCTCAAATGTAGACTTGATTAGCACACACTCTGAAGTTCCTCTTTTCTATAAACTGATGAACAAGAAGACAGCCCAGTGTGACCTCTCGCTCTATCTGTGTTCTTAATCTCCCTGACAGAGACGCAGTCCCCTCGGAAAACGGCAGTCAAGACCTGCAACCTTGTCTGTGTAAGGTTTTGAAGCTGATTTCAGAACAGTGGAAATACTTATTTAGATGATGTCATGAAATCACAAATAGCAGCATATTTCTCAGTGCTATCTACTTGTTCCTTAGTGTGGGGTACCTAAAATAAAATGACTATGTGAGCCAAGATATAAATGATAAGAAAAGTAACATAAAAGATGATCAGAGTCAGCACCACTTATGTACCGTACCAGAATAGCTAATAAGTTAAATACCACCATTCAGACATCTGTGCTGTTAATTTTTATCTATCACAGTAATTCCCCTTGAAACCGAGTAAGAACATTACTGGGAGGGTGCTGCTCCCCTCTGTTCCTTCTCAGTGCTAAACTTTGAGAGAGAGTAAGAGGTTGACCCTAAATCCTTCTACCATGTACTACTGCACTATACCAGCCTTGCTCTAGTTATAATTACACATTTCGTTCAGGTACCAATATTCCCATAGATGGTCACCAAGTTTTAAAACTGCTCATTATGCAACTCTGTAAACGATATTCCTGGAGACACTGTGTTCACTGGAAACCTATTCCCTTTCCTTGATTAATTCAGACCGCTAAAATAGCATCAACCAGGCTACCTCCAGCACAGGGAAAGCCTCAATACCCAGTGCTGAGGCTGAACTAATTAGACTCCGAGACAGACTAATTATTTCTGTGGCAGAGCTGACCCTATGTGAAGCTGCTGTTTCTGGGACCCAGCCCAGTCGCTTTAGAGGATGCAGCCTCCCAGGATTTCTCTACCGCTTCATTGCAGGACACAGATGAACCCTGACCGTCCATTCTGCAACCAATGCACTTACAGCAGGCTTAAGAAAAAACCTGAAGAGATTGCAAATTCAATATGCAAACAAACTGCATATAATAACTTCCATTTTAAAATAGGTAATTTTAGTGACTTGTCTTTGTGCTGTCTCTGTCCTGAGAAAAACCAGGTAGATTTCCATACCTCTATCACCAACATATACGCATACACCCAATTCCAGACTCTGTATATTGCACAGAGAAATGTAAAGGGTGAAAAGAATTACTTTTGACACTACTCTTTCTAGGGAGACTAAAAGGTAAATATGATCTTGAATAGAAAATGACCTACTGCAGCAAAATAAAATCACACTGGTCAGATCACAACTGTAAAGAAAGGAAAATGAAATGGAGATCCAAATACTTCTCAAATGTAAAACAAAAATCATAGTTCATGCTGCAGACAAAAGTATGGTAGCTGATCCAAATGTGTTCAGAAGAAATTCATGCACCTTTTCTTTTTCCTTCTTGAAAGTTGAACATAGGCCGTTTTTCCTCACTTTCTTGGGTTAACCCATCTTTTATAATAACAATGTAGAATTCTGCCTGATGGTGAACATAAAAAATTGCCATTTCAGGTTGAAAGGAACAGGCGTGTTTGTTTATGCACAACAGGTACATTAATTACTTTCCGGATAAACAGCTAGCCTAAAGTCGTAAATGTTCGACCAGAAAAGAGAAAACAATACTGTGGATTGGAATATTTCCAATTCAATATTGCATACGCAGCTGGAAAGAGCAGTCAAGTCAGATGAGCCGAATCCAGTACAGCCATTAACAAAGCACCTCCCTCCCCACACTATACCTTTCCTGTTGCTGGGTTTAATGACCGGAAAGTATTTTGCTGTAATATCGGCCGTAGCTGTCAGAAGAGGAGGCAGAACTGCTGGCTAAGTCTGTTCATTAAGGAACAACTCCTTCGCATGGCCCGGTGCGACCACGCTCGTGACCACCAACCCCTCCAACGTGCACCGCAGAAGGCAGAGCGACTGCAGAAATTACTGCTCTTCATCAGCGGTCCTTTTCTGTACAGAACCAGCAATACCTCTTACCCTTAAAAACTTCCCTACCCATGTTGAAGATACCAGAATTTCGGAAAACAACCTTCTACAAAGATTCTGAGGCTCCAAATAATTAGTAATTAACACTGTAAATATTTTCTTTAAAAAAATCCCACATTTAGTGTGAAACAGTCTAAGTATTAAAATACTGTTGTTTCCAAGAACTTCGTTTGTCAAATATTATTGATACTAGTGGTAACGGTTGGCAGATTTTGCAGCAAGTATTAAAAGACACTGAAATGATTACATATAATTGACATAAAATATTTTAAAATACCAACTTATAAGTGTCATAGCAGAGAAGTTGAACTGTCAGAAAAATGATACCAGTACTGAATTTAATCACTTGGTCCAATCTTCAAGAAACCCAAAGGCACATACTGCTGTCACAGGCTACAGAAATAGTAGTGTTCTAATATAATACTTTTAAACAGGCAATTTCTGTGATGAAGTGAAAAACATATGCCATATATAGTTGCACCCATTTGTGTTTAATCCTCACCTCAAACTTCTGTCGGAGCTCTGCATTTCCATCTTCATCAGCATCTGGAATTGGAACATTGTAATATTCACCTTCTTCTTGATTCAGCAGCTTGTACCTGTGGACCATTTGAGAAAAAATGGTGACTTTACAATTATATTCCTGTTAGATTTAAAATCTGATTTAGTTGTTCGTATGTGGTTTGTATCAATGTCACAGGTATGTAAAAAACTGCTTTCAAAGGTATAAAGCAAACTCAGGAACAGAATACAGTTAACGTAAAATCAATCTTTAATCCCAAACTATGTGCCAAGGCAGTTTAACGGACAAGGAAATTCTTCCCACCCATCCTGTGATACGATGGGAGATACCAACCCTGAAGAACCTTCATCTCCAGTGCTTCTATAGCCCTACACAATTATCTTTGACGAGATGTACTTTTTGTGAAGACATGATGAGTTCTACCCGTAGCTTGGTAGGTAACAGGATGGCATTTTATAAAATCAGTTCCCATGTGCTTTGAATTTGCAGAGCTATATATAACATGATACGCTTAGTAATGAATATATCATATTTGAGATAAAAATAAAATTTGTATCACAAGACTATGTACACAGAATTAAGTTTGCAGCAGCTCCTGGCTCCAGCAGAAGTTTCATGAGCACCACAAAAGAAAAGCATTCCTTTTGTTATCCTTCTTTGTTATACAGAGCCTGTTTCTTAGGTTTAGTTGCATTTTCAGTGAATTTATAGTGCAAGATACAGTGAAAAGCTCCAAAAAAGGTACATTCTATTGAAGAAAAATACTGGTCTTATACTTTTTGTGATATATTCTCTCCTTCTCTCTTTTCAGCAACTTACCATCCACTGGCTGGCATTTTCATCAGCTCTGACACCCCAAATGAGAGAGATCCCATGAAATCATTTCTGGTTGTTCGATCCCAGTCCCAGACCTCTACGGATAACCGTCGATCTTTGTCTGTAGGTTTTAACTTACTAAAAAGGAGAGAAATAGAGGAGTTTTCAACACAACACTGAAATAAATGACTCAATACATATAAAAACATTACATTAAAAGGGGTTAAACTTACAATGTGAACGACTCATTCCAGTCTGGGTTCAGAGTAGAACGGATGGTTTTTGTTTTTTGTTTACTTTCATTCTTAGGATCTGGGATGAGCTTCAGTTTAACATAAGGATCTGAAAGTCCATTGGGATCCATGGGAATTAGGTTTTTTGCTTCTCGCACTGTCAACATAAAACATAGCTAATTTGTATAGGATTAAAAATCATCATTAAGAAAGCAATAAAATGTCAAACTATGGTTACTGAAACACGTTGGAAAATAAAACAAATAAGACATGAAACCCACTTGTCAGACTTGGCATGGAAGAAACTAGCTGTTGTGAGGTTGCACTTAGCAATATTTATAAGAACGGTGGAGAGAAATGACAGAAGAGCAATTCACAAATGACATGCAGCTCCCAGGCAGCTCTTTTCCTGCAGTGGAATGATTAAATGTCCAAATCCATCACTATAAATTGTTAAGTGGGTAGCAAGCCTTCGCACGTTTATTTACTCATCAGTCTTAGGTTATACCACTACAGGACTATCAGCCAAATATTATAAGGGTGATAGCCAGATCACAATAGATTTCAGAAGATAAGTTACTTCGTACAACCCATCACTGGAAGATACCTAACACTGAACTTCCCTCAGATTCACGGTTCATTAGTTGTCAGATGGAATCACTGAAAGCATCACGTCATGACAGTAACCAAAGTAAAAGCGTAGAGAAGACAAGCTTACCTTCAGCTTCACAAAAATGTTAATCTAGCTTCTATTTTTACAATGTCAAAAGAAGACATAAAGTGAGTTAACATATCTCACATTGCTACAGATGCCCAAAGAGAGAGAGACCAGAGTAGACAGCAATCTGCATGGGTGCCGTTCCCCACAAGGCCACATCCCCACGTGGAACAGGGCAGGCAGGCAATGGTGGGCTACCACGGCATTTATCGGGGGTTCGGCAGCTTTTGGGTTTCAGACTGGCTGGACTGGAGCTGTGGGGTTCGTTCAGCAGCTCAGAAGTCACTGCAGGGCAGCAGAGATTTCCAGTGGACGAGCAAAGACAGCACTTCCCTCCCTCCTGCAGAGGACCAGTGTAACACCCGTGTACGGGACACGTAGGGTTTTATCCCGTGTTAACAGCATCAGCTTCTGCCGAACCTCAGAAGAAGAGGTGAATGTTCCTCATGCTGTGAAACCCCGTCCTACCCACACTGGCCAAGCCACGACGAACTGCAGTGATCGAGTTGGGGTGGGGAATTCAGAGCTCACAACTGGGCATCTCCAAACCTACTGGGAGCAGTAATCCTCTGGGCTTGTTTTGGACAGAAAACGGCTTTCACTTGGGAATTTATTTTTGAGATGCATAGTTTAAGATTAGAATTGTTCCTGGAAGGAGAATCACAAGAAGCATTGAGGGTGAGGTGGTTCCTAGGGTACGAAGGAAGGCCGACATCTAAGAGTGAGTCTCCAGAGATGTTATCCCGGATTGACAGTGCCCTGAGCTACTGCTTTCACAGTGTCAGCAGCACAAGGGATTTTTAAATTTATCTGCCCAACTGAAGAAATCTGAAAGGAAATTTAGGAAAAACCAACCCTGAACTCACCTATTATTTCTGGATGGAAAACATTTCCTACAAAAATTGGAACTTTAGAGTTAAAAAAAAAAAAGTAAAAAAAGAGTTGTCAGCAACAGATAGTCACTGCTCACGGCACTCTCCTCCTTTTCCCCCAGATTTAAATGGCATTTTCATATTACAAACAAAAATTACAGACCTCCCCAGGAGTTCAACACGTTATTTCCCAGCATGGAGGGTGAAAGGCATCCAAGCAACACAGGTATTTTGTAATGGTTGTTTACTCTCATTATGTATAGAATAAGAAGAGGACAGTTTTCGGGCAGCAGTCTAATGACATGTAAACGAGCTGAAGTACATCTTTTCAAAACGTCCTTTGTTCTCCCTTTAGAAATGAAGTCAGGGCTGTGGTGGACTGAAAATTGTGCACAAGTGCTGCTGTAAGACAGCAGGAGATGGGCAATCAATGTAAAGCACAGGACAGATAATACTGTGCTTTACTTACGGCCAGCGAAATGAAAGATTGAGGCATTGACAATATTGACAATGCCCCCACTATAACACAGCACTGAAGGTGATTTTTAAAACCATGCGACGGTTCTGTTCCATTTCCCATAGACCAGGTGTATTCACAAGTTGATGTCACTGGCTCTAGGTTGACATTTGCCTTTTACACAATGGAGAGAGCGTTTTGGTGTTCATAATAATTGTGTTCTTCCAAATGACATAACTGCTAAGCAGTGCTTTAGTGCAAATCTACTACTTGGCTATTTGATTCAAGCTGTCCCTTGATTCAAGGGAAATTTTTTTTGGGGGAAAAACAGCCACTGCCACAGAAAACACATAATTTCAAAGAGTTTGACCTGCTCTGTTTATTCAATGAGAGAGTATGAAGTGGGGTAGAACGAGTTGCAAGAGAGAAATACCTGCTGTAACTGGTACCTTATATCCAAAATAGCTGTAGGAAGAAGGTGGAGCACAGGAATGCAGGCTACTTATTTGGAACACGCTAGTTTATTTGTCAAGATAATTCCCATGCAGAACAGATACCCCGATGTAAATTAATTATTGAAATTAGATCATGGCTGGAAAGGAATCACATTAACTTGAACCAACAGTTGATACTGATTAACCTACGTTTCTTAAATTTATGTTTTTAAAATGAGAGACAGAAAATGCTTATGGGCTAACATTTCAAAATAAAATGTATTCACGATTTTACTCAAAATAACTGCACCTGACAACATACACTGTGTTTTAAAGGAACAGAACAGAAACAAGAGTCTTTCTTGCAGAGCATTTCATCTGCAGTTTTCCCCAGTCCCTGTACAAAGCCGACAGGGCTTTGCAATTACGAAATTTCAGGCCAGAGAAACTGTCTCCACTCTCATTTTCTCTGAGTTCACCCTTTGAGGGTCTCCGCACCCAGTGGTCAGCTGGAAAACCACTTCTGTTTTCAATCCATGACACCCTCCCCCCCTTAAGATTTAGCACACTGACAGTGATCTTCACATGCTTCTGAGGAATAACGTCAAGATTAAATTATTTCAGTTAAATATTTACAGTCCCAAAGGGACTAAGAACCATAAAGTAAGCGAAGGACGAAGTGACAGCCTTCAAAGCAACTTGCTCTCTCTCTCATCCTGTCTTTGGGTTTCTTTTGTTTTGGCCTTTTTTTGGGGGGTGGGTGGGGGGGTGGTGTCATCTTCCACATGGCACTTATGCCTGCACTGCCAGCTTTGGCACATGAACTATTACTTCAAAATCCACTTTTTCATTTGTATTTGTACGGTAGTTATGCATAAGTGAGGAGCAGAACTCTCTACATGTTCTGCTGCTTCCCAGAAATATGCACTAAGAAGTCTTTCATTAAAATTCCTCGAACAAAATTGCTTAATTTTAACACAGCGTCCTCGGGCTGATCCTTTCTGTTTAAATTTTGCCTGAAAATGCTCGGTGTGAAACCAAGCAGGGTTTTGAGAAACTGGCCGGGTGGATGCGGCGCCATTCTCTGAGGCTCTGCCGTGCAGAGCTCCCTGGAGAACGCCGGCGCGGATTAGCCTTGATGCCCGCTGCCGAGCCCGGAGAACACCACTGACAGCAGGAGGACGCGGCAGCATGGGTAAGACTACTTCTTTCTTTTGCAGCAAACACAGACAAATAAAAAAGCCCTCTAAATACAAGGAAAAAAAAAATAAAAGAGAAGCTCAGAGATGAACTGGGAAGGAAAGACGCAACATATACTAAATACAGGCTGCCAAAGAAGTCATTATCTCACTCCTCGGTTTAGGATTTCTGGCCCATTTGTACTGTTGTCTGCATAATTAGTACCCTTAGACATCTTTTTTCAACTGAGTTAACACTTATTTTCTTGAGGAAACAGCATGATGATACTTGTACTAAACAGGACTTATAAAGAATTAGCATCCAAGTGGTCCACCTCTTTAAGGGCACCCTATTTTTAACAGCACAGGTCACATTCCTGTAAGACCACTGGCAAGAAGAAGAGATTTCCCCTCCCCACCAAAGGCACAATCTCTTGTGTGTAGTTGAAACAGAAAAAAGTACATGAAAAATAACTCCAAGAAAATCAATCAACTTACTGTGGCTGAACTCTGCTGTAGCTGCAATGACAGCAAGCAACCTCACACTGCTTTATAATTATTAGTTAATTAAACTCAACACTGTGATAGAGATGTTACTCTCAATTTATAGATGGCTGAAATGAGATGCAGTTCAGCATCACTTGGAGTGGAACTTGGACAGAAACCTAGAACACGACTTGCCAGTTTTCTGTCAAAACTATGAAGCATGACAATGACCCCCGTGCACTGAGCAGAGTAGCTGCGACACGTTACATTTCCCACCGTTTTGTCCAGGTCACACTCTTAACGGGGACTGAGGCTGCGCACGGATGAAAAGACAGTGAAGAGAAGCATATATTGAAGTATACATTGAAGTTTCTAACAAATCCAAGCTTGCCCAGGTTTTCCTTCTAAAAAACAGCATTAGCTGTCAACTTTCCATAGGGGAAAAAACTGTACCATTTTCCTCCTCATTGTTACAAAGAAGAGACCATAAATGTTTAGTCAGCAGAAAATGTTGACTATTTGATGGCTGTCCTATGGATGTTCTGTTATGTGCTACTTATAACCCAGCAGTATCTATCCAGAAGCCGTGCCTGACACTGGGACGCCCACTTTTCCAAGAATAGTGGAAAGACACAAGCAAATACAGAGCTGGGTCTTAGGTATTCATTCTTTAAATAAATATCTAAATAAGACAGAGTGGGCTGGCAGAGAACAACTGACATTTTACGCCAAGAGAAGAAATTCAGGCAGAATTTTGAGGAATTCAGAGCGCTGACGACAGAACCAGAACTTTTCCCATGAGATTGCACAGGTCAGAAGTTGCAATCCATATGCAGTTATGGATTTATAACTTCTTGCGATACAAGCAAATAAATTTAGTCCCAGGAATGAGTAAGTAGATGTTTCTGTCCCTCTAACAAAGCTGAATTATGGGCAGCGTGAGTTTACTCAGTTCCTTTTCAAGTGAGTCACAGCTACCTTTTTCCTGAATTCCCAAATGTTGATAATAAAA